GGTTGGGATGCTGGATGAGAACTCTCGTCTGAATTTTTTTATTTTGTTTTTTTAATAACCGCTCTCCAATCCAAATGGATTGTCGCCCGGGCTAGTAGTTCGACCTTCTCTTCTTTGCGCTTTTTAGTTTGTTTCTTCCATTGAGTTCTTGATGCGCACTTCGAATCAATCGTAAACGGGAGAGAGAGAGAGAGAGAGAGAGAGAGAGAGAGAGAGAGAGAGAGAGAAGCTTTTGAGTGTTGCTCTCGAGGGAGTGAGGAGAGGGAAGAGGAGTGTTCGTCCCAAAATTGCGAGGAATTTCGGATCCCTCTTGAGATACTTGTTAACCCCCTCATTCTCCGCCCTGACGACTGCAGCAGAATGGAAGCTGCAGACGGACGCTGGCCCTGAGGCAGAAAAAGCGAAGTGCCAGTTTTTTTATGAGAAGGTGCGAACAGGGAGGAGGAGGAGGAGAAGGACAAGGAAGACAAGGTGAAAGCCCGTAAGGCCGTCTTCAGCACTCTCCCAACGTTGACTAGTGCGGAGGCGAGGGGGAAGACTGTTCCACTTCTCAAGGCCCTAGTAGATGTCCGACCTGTCGAGGATAATGCTGGCCAGTTTGCGCAGGTGTTTGGAGAACTTAGAAAGTTGTGCGAAGACTTGGCCAGAATGGCACAACAGCACCATGACCAGTTGCACCCAATCGCAAATTTGCAATGGGGCCAAATTCCAATCTCCCTCCTTTCTACCCAGCTTCTAATAATGCGAATGAATCTATTGTTGCCCCTCTTACTATGTCTTCTTCTTTTCTTTGAGTGTGGTCGACAACCTATCGAGATGTGCAGCAGGTCCAGACGCAATAGCAGCAGCAACAAGTAACAGCGCAGGGAATTATGGAACTGCTGCAGCCCAAGTTTGGACCCAGCAGCTGCTGCCAGCAGCTGCTGGTCCAAGTTACAACTTTCCCTATGTGGACAAGAAGATGGCCCAGATGCCGTCTAAGTATGGTGGAAAAAACGACATTGAGTCTTCGATCAGCAATATGCGACACTACTTTGATGTGCCGGGGACACCCCCAGCCACAAGGACGTTGGTCATGGGGACTAACATAGAACCCGTCGTATGGGCTGTGTACAGTAGACTATTAAAGAATAGATTTGAATCTATGGGTGAAGGCTACGCCTGTAGCCACGTTCGAGGATCTCCTAATTAAGCAATATGGAGATCCATATGCCAGACCCAAAGTTGGACTCAAGCTTGACAAAATCATGCACGACAAGTGGACGGGCTCCATGCACAATCTCCAACAGTACCTTAGTAGGCTTTTTGCTACTCCTGATTTGGAAATAGATGTGCAGTCTTGCTTGAATGTTGTCAAAGGTGCGGTTCCCTCGACTCTAACATATCGCCCTGGGCTAATGCTCGTCGGCTATAAGGATTGGTTTTTCGTCATGCGGGATTTAGTTAGCCTTGAGGCATAGGACCTCCTGGGTGGATCAAGTGGCAAGAAATCCACTATCTGCAAACGATTTGGGAGCAACAACCATTTTCTTGCGCACGATCTGCAGATCTTCACGAAGGACTCTTTTCTTGGTGACGATCAAAAGCAAGATCGCAAGGCAACTTGCTCTTCGTCAACCCACGAGTCTATTACTGTTAATGAAGATGAAAAACTCAGTGCCTTTACCGAGTCTACCAAAAAGGGACCTAACCGGAACTTGATGAAGAACACTCTTCATCTTCCCAAAGGAACCAAAACCCTAGTTAAACCGGAGGATGCTGCGACCAAAGATTTGGTTGATTTCCAGATTAGCGAAAGTGAATGGAAAATAGGCTCAAGACAAATGTTTGCCTGCATTGCCAAAGATATGGACATGCAATTGATATGTGTTTTCGGCTGCAGGGAAACCATCAACGGACGTACAGTTGTTGTCAGCACACACAACCACAGGAAATGCTGAACCGGTAACTGGTAATCCTTCTACTGGATCTGGTTTTGTTCAGCAACCTTCTCTTAATGCCCCTTCATCTGTTGATTCCAAGATCATTGCGGATTGACACCTCTGTGTTGAGCCTTGGGAGGAGTCTAAGGACATTAACTTCTACTGTCACCTAGAGCATTGGAATTCGATGAGACAGCAACGCGCTCAAGGGACAACGGAGTTGTTATTCTTTAAACTTCTCATCAACCACCGTTACCTCCGTGTCTTGGTTGATTGTGGTTTTACTGCTAACATTTTTTCTCCACATGGGGTTCGCAAGGTGGGCTTGGGAATGATGCAAGTGGAATTGCAGAACCCTTGTCAGACCCAGGTGGGCAACCAAGAGGTCGTCACATCCACGCATGCAGTCAAAGGTGTGCACACTACCCAATAAGTGTGTTTTCGACGCAGTTTTTGTCGTGGGCTGGTTGACATCCCAATGCATGGGTACTCAGTGGGCAAATCACTTTCGTGGCACTACATGCCTTGGGGAACGAGCGCTCAGTCCTTCTGGCTAAAGCATGCCAGTCCGTCGTGACTCTTCTCAATAACATGCGTTTCAGCAAAACATGGCGCATGCCCAAGGAGGATGAACAATTGTATATAGCCTTTGTTCTCTCTACCCATATGCATTCTACTTTTGCGGCAAGTACTACTACTGCTTTGCATGTTGGTTCTACTTCTAACGTACCCCTACTTCTAGTCCAAATGAGTCCACTTCAAAGTTTGTGGTGTTGGCTGCCTGCTTGCAGCCTAACTTGCCTGCAGCTGATTCATATTCTCCACCTCCCAAAATTCCAGCAAACATCCAAAGCCCTTTCAACCGATTTCCAGGAGTCCTGGTCGAACCACGAGGAGTTTTGTGCATTTGGTCAAGCACAAGATTGAGTTGATCAAAGGCAACATTCCTCTTAAGGGTTGTGTGTACCATATGAGACCCGACGAGTTGGAGGAACTGCGGAGGCAAATTGATGAAATGATTGACAAAGGGTGGTCTAACCCTAGTGAGTATGAATTTGGTAAACCAATCCTGTTTGTTCCCAACAAAGGAGGCAAACTCCGGATGTGTATCAATTACCGAGGACTTCACAAAATCACAAGGAAGAATGTATACCCTCTATCACACATTGATGACTTGCTTGATGCTGCAGGTAGGTGCGGGGTCTTTTCCAAGATCAATCTCAAGTCTGGTTGCCACCAGATTGAAGTCGATCCTGCGGACCAGCACAAGACTACATCCAAGACACGCGGCAGGCTATATGAGTTTACTAAATGCCCTTTTGCCTCATGAATTCACTAACCACCTTTCAATGTCTCATGGACAAAGTACTTCGTGAACAGATCGGTCGATTTGACATTGTCTAGTTTGATGACATCTTGATCTCCAGCAAATCGATGAAGGAACATGTGAGACATCTTGAGGAGGTGTTCAACATCCTCAAGAAACTGCATCTCCATCTCAACTTACAAAAATCTGAGTTTGTAAGGGACAACGTCATCCATCTTGGGCACCGGTTGTTTGTTGCAGGCCTCGAGCTTGAGGCAACCAAAGTTGACGTCATTTGCAAGTGGCCTCAACCGTTGAATGTTCATGAATTACGTTTTTTTCTTGGTCTTGCATCCTACTACCAAAAGTTTGTTCCTTTTCTATCATTGCACGTCCCTTGTCTTTACTAACAAGCAAGAATGTGTCTTATCAATGGGATGGGGATTGTGAGCCTTCCTTCCAAGCCTTAAAAGAGGACTTAGTGAGTTATCATGTGCTCCGCATTGCAGATCCCATACACACATTTGTAGTTATTAGGGATACAAGACAGTATGGGATTGGCGCAATGCTGCAACAAGATGATGGTGATGGCTTGTGTCCGCTAGAGTACTACTGCAAGTGCATGTCAAGTGAAAAGGTAGCTACTTCCACTTACATGAGGGAGCTTTATGCCTTGAGAGAGGCCCTTAACCATTGGAAACACTATTTGTTGGGTCGCCACTTCAAAGTTTTCTCAGATTATGAGACTTTGAAATGGATAAAGACGCGTAGAATACCCCATCTACAACATTGACCGGCTGGCTGCGTGAGATTGATGTGTTCAATTTGAGTTGAAAACATAAGAAAGGTTGCTACAATCGCGTTGTGGATGCCTTGTCTCACGGCCCTGCGTACGTGACTTCCCTTGTGAGATCCTACGGCCTCTGTAAGAAGTTAAAGGCGGAGTTAGCAGAGCACTGCCATGGATTCAGACGCTAGTCCTATCCTTGAGCAGCTTCGGGCTGACCCAAGCAGTCAGCGTGATTTCCACGAGTGTGAGGATCTGATTTTTCGACGCTATGGAAAGCATGACTAGTTGTGTGTCCCCAACCATGAGCCTATCCGTACTCACTTCTTGGACTTGGCTCATGGCCGGAGTGGACGCTTTAGGTTTGAGAAGATTTACGGAAGCTTGTTATGATAGTTTGATTGGCCTAGGATGAAAGGAATGACCCGAAAGTTCGTGGCTGAGTGTCAAGTTTGTCAACGCATCAACCTATCTCCACAAAAACCCTATGAGCTGCTGCATACTCTTCCTATCCCTGACGGTATCGGTAAGTCTCTCCATTGATTTCACGGACATGGGTCAGAAGAGCAAAAACGAATATCGTTGAGTCCTTGACCGCTTCTCAAAATTTCTGAATTTGATTCCATTGCCACCGCACGCCCCAACTGACCTTGTGATTGAGGAGTTTAGCAAGAGAGACATTCTGCATTATGGCCCCCCAATGACACTTGTGAGTGACCGGGACACCAGATTCGTAAGTGCAGATTGAAGAGACTTCACCTCCCAGGTCTATGACATCAGACTCCAGATGGCATCTGATCGACACCCCAAAGCCAATGGTTTGGCTGAGGAGATCAACCAGACTGTGATCCAACTTCTTTGAGCTCTAATTGTCCCCGGACAGAACTCTTGGTATGAGGAATTGCTGATTGGGTTGGGGTTGTACAACAACTCCATACGCTCCTCCATCGAATTGACACCAAATCGGTTGCATCTTGGATGGCAGATTCACTATCCTCTCTCGTACCTGTTTTCTGTTTGGCACCTGACCTAACACCTGGCCAGCCTGGCTACAGCTAAGTTCGATCGCTTGCTCAAGGTTGCTATTGCAGCTATTGAGAAGCGATGCAGTGCCATGATAAAATTTGCTGACAAAAGCGCCAGCCTTCTTCCTTTCACGATGGGAAGTTACGTCTGGGTCAAAATGTCTTGGTTTTTGGAAGAAGAGGTGGTGTCGTGAAAGCTTCTTCCTCAGTACTACCATCCTTGGCAGGTGCTGAATCAGGTGGGGGATGATTCATTCGCTCCTTATGTGATTGTCATGCCTCCTCATCTGCGTACGCACCCAATCTTTTATGCATCAAAGTTGTTTCTGTATCTGTCTCCTGAAACTTTTCCGCATCGAGAACCGATGATCCCTCGTGCAGTCAATGGCGGTCACTATATTGATAGATATGTCGAACACAGTGGAAATGGGAAGAACTAACAGTATAACGTTCATTCTCTGTATCAACCGTTAGACGATTTTCACTGGATTTCAAAGAAGAATTTGTTGCAGAGTGCACCTTGGGTTGTGGAAGCCTATGAGTGACTGATTGTCTCCGATCAGCTACCACAGTTCTCTGATCAGCAACCGAAACAGCAACCGAAGTTCTCTAGTACTCTCACTCCCACTGAACACACCAGATCACACTTTGCCATCTATGCCTACGATGTATTGTGCAGGGACTCTGAGTGAGTTACTCGCTTAAAGGGACCTCACTCTTGAGAGGGGGGAGGGGGGGGGGGGGTAGTGTAATGACCTGCCAAAACACAGACTCAGAACAGTGCTGATTTCTGAATTTTTCCGCTGGAATGTATGCCTAGCTGAGATTCCCGCATTCTGCTGAGTTTTTTGGGTCAGTGTGTGTGCATGCTAGCTGGTTCGTTTGCCTGTCTGAGTGACGAGGTATTTACCTGGCTGTGGTGGACGCCATCTTCATCACCTTGTTAGGCGCTCCATCAGGAAGGCCCCAGTTGGGGTAGCGCCGCACCAAGAAAGCTTCAAGGCAGAGTCAAGCATGGCGGCCTGAGAAGCAGCGGACATAGCTGCTTTGTGTTGTCTTTTGCATGTAAGGGCTAGGTTCTTAGTAGTCTGCCATAGCCTCGGCCTGTTTGACGAGAAGGAAGAGGGAGGCTATGGCTATGGTGGACCTCTGGTTCTGCCAAGCAGTAGAAGAGGGATTCAAACATTGATTTTGATTTAGCCATTCGTCATTATCCCCAATACTTCCCTATACTACTAAAGCAAACAGCGGTCCTCGCGTGGGTCCCAACGGAAACCGGGCGGCTCCGCACGGGACCGGTGACGAGCAGCAGGTAAGGGGGAACCGGTGGAACCCGGGCCGAGAGGCGGAAAAATCCCGGCGCGCGTGCAGAAGAGGAGTCGGTCGTGGACCGGGATTTGGCGGGATGTCGGGTAATCGCGGCAGGCCGACAGCAGGAATCGGCGAGGCGACAAAACGACCGGATGCACATGCACGGTAGGGCAGCGGAAAGGACGGGTAAGGTGGGAAAGCGGTCAGGGATTTGTCGGATGTCGATGTGACGGGCGGGGTGAAGCGGGAAGTGGCATGGCATGAATTCACTAGCGGCGT